TGGTGGCCTTGATGACGCCACACAACTATATTTGACGACATTACTCTCGGTAGGATCCAAACTTCATTATGGTCGACGACGATTAGATGCAAGTTCCGCATGAAGCATTTGATTTTCACGTTGAATAGTCTATACCACCAGTAAAGAGGGAGCAACCAAAATTTGAAACCCGTGATGACGAAGGTGCAGCGAAAATGTTTGCTTTGATAGAGCGGATCACATATGCTATCATTAGATGTTGACTAGTCGTTTTATCCTCACTTTCTATACTCTATGTTTTTTTTATGGTTGTTGTATCATTGTTACTTTTTATATTATATTATTCACATGTTTGAAAGAGCTTGTTTTGTTTTTTTTTGTGGGCTTGTAAGGCCGACAAAAAGACGTCTGACCTTCTGGGCTCTTTGGATGGTGTGTCAGTCAATGTTGGTTGGTGTCATATGTGAAATTCTAATTAAGACAAACAAATTCCTCTTGTATTTTCCGCGATCTTGTTTTTGAGGATCTTCTTGATGGTCTTTTTTTGGTGATATGCATATGTGACACACGCAATGTTAGTTTTAAGTGGGGAAAAGGCAACATGAAGCCTATTTTTTTACAAGATCTATTGTATTCTTGTAGTGACAGATTCGTTGGTTGGTGTAGCGAGTTCTATGAGCCCTCACGCTCTCTTATTTTTTTTTGTTAATTTATGTTATTATATTCAATATACTTTTTGTTTATTTCCATTTCCTTATATATTTATCCAACAAATTTCATCTCTTTGTTATGAGCGATGGGTGCTCTCATGTATCTTTGAAGGAATATGTGTTTTAGGATTTTAAGGACCATTCGGCGAGTGTTTTGCCACTACAGAATAAAAACTATTATTGACGTAACATTGGACACATAACTACAGGAGAGAGTTCTACATGTGTCTGCGAAGGGCAAACGGTCCGAAAAAGTGTGACTGCTTCAGGTGGGCGGACAATCCTACAGAATCTACTGCCGATAGTGATCGGGGTTGATATCCCTACATGACAAAGTTGCCCGTGACATGATTTTTTTTTTGCATTTTAAAATGAATAATATCATACTTTTAACTGTAATTTTAATATGATTTTTCATTTTTTAGGTTTATTGATATTCACTTTTAAGTGAAGTGTATATCATTTTTTTAACTGTTATTAAGTGATTTTTTTTTGTTATAAACTATCAAATACATAGTCATGACAGCTCTGTTGCAAATAACAATACTCAACAAGGTAGAATAGTCATTTATCTACAAATAGCTGCTAGTTAGCTATTTTTCAAACGCACAAACCAAACATCAAGTTTACTTATCCTAATCAGAGGTAAAATGATCATTTATCCAGAAACAACTGTAAATCAGATGTTTTCCAAACACTCAAATCAAACAGTCATCCAACTTACCTGGATCAGTTGTTGATCAGCAATTCATCAAGATAAGCTGCTTATATGAATAAGTTGGATAAGTTGCAGCTGCCCCAAACAGACCCTTAATCAAAGTAAGAAAATACTCCCTTAATCGTTATGTTTCATATAAATGCAGAGTAACATATCTCATGTTTACACTTCAAT